GATTTGGGGACGCTAAGGAATTCAGAGTATGGAGTTATTAAAATTAAGGAGCTTTATAACTAATGAAATAGAGAATTAAGCCAGTTAATAGGACTTGGAAAACTGTATCTATCAGTGGACTAAAGGTTCAGGAATGTTGAACTACTATTGTATTTCATGTAATCAAGTCATTGAACTTGACAGAGAAGATATAGTTAGATAGTAGGATAATTCAAGTCAATATATGGGAGCTAGAACAATTTTTAGTATATGACAAATTTCACATTCTGACCATGGTAGTAGGTATCTTAGAACTGGAAAGGGCACTAGAGGTGAATTGATGAAGAAACACTGGGGCCAGCTTATTTGGAAGAGTTACTCACATGGGTGTTGTCTAGGATAAGATATTAGGTGAATTTGAATTTGAGAAATATTTACAGGATATAGAAGGTAATAACCTTGAGTTCTCTATTTTTATAGAGTATTAGTTGTCACCATTCCCTTCAAAGCTATAATAATAGTGTATTTTCCACTGTAACAGGTAATATGATCTGAGAATTTTGTATTAAATTTTATTTTACATACTTGTATCTTACCTATTTGTTAACATTTCAGTTAAAATGAGGCCTTTGAGACATCTCTATTTTCTTCTGCCTTAAGTCATAAACACATATGCACTATTTCCAAAATTATATCAATTATCTCTTTTTGCTTATTTAACAAATGATTCCAAAATTATGTGAGTAATGACAAGTATCATTTGGTTAACTGATAAATCTGTGGATCAGTTGAGTGTTCTTGCTGATTTAAGTTAGTTTAACTTACCTTAGTTAAGTTCACTCACGCATCTATGGTCAGCTGCTGAGTTACCTGGAGCCTGACTAGTCTAGGAGGGCTGGGATAAATGGCTGGAAGAGCTGCTTCTGGAGTCTGTCATCCTGCAAAAGACCAGATGCTCTTGTTCACACAACAGCAGGTTTGAGTTCCTCAATCACAAGTGGAGGTGTGCTTGGCTACTTATATACTAGTCTTGGAACTGCACCTGAAACAGAGATGGGAAATAGAACATATTTCATGATGAGAAAAGTTGCTAGTCACTTTATAAATGGATATAAATGCAGGATGGAAATAAGTACAGTTATTTATTTTTATTTTATTTTAAAGAGGAAAGAACAGAATAAGACCAATCAAAACAAACCAGTGTAAGTGATATAGAGCTTCAAAACATTACGAATTCAACAAAAATTACCATAATGCCTTTTGATGTCTTCATAGTAGCTGCAGATAACTTCGGACTTAATAAAAAATCAAACAGAACAGAATAGAATAGAAACAATAAAATAAGACAATGAGTATAATAAAGGGCTTCAAAATAAGCCAATAGTAAGTCCAAAATTGCTACATAATATATCTTGCTATTTTTGAAAAAACTGCTCCTACCATTGGATTTAACCTAATCAAATAAAACAAAAGAGAATGAAGCCCAACAAAACAATGAAAACGATATAGGACTTCAAAACAAGACCATAGGGAATCAACAATGGCCACCACCTTCAGAAGGAGATCCCCCCCTGGATGCCATACTGCATACCGCTATCCTCCGAACCTGTGATCAGACCGCAGGGCCTCGGCCTGCAGTGTCAGTGAAACACAAAAGCATCTTAGGCATCCAATTGCATCTACAGTTATTTTTAAAAATATAAATGTTATAACATTTTGTGTTGTAAGATATAAGTAAAAAGCCGTGTATCTATATATGACAAGTCTCTATTCCTGTTGTATTTCCACCACTTTCTTGCCCTGGGTCCTTGGGCAAGAAAATTCTCTGATTCTCTCTTTTCTATTCATGTAACAGAGAAGGCTGGGAGGAATACTGTCCTGGCTGAATGGTCTGCCTCCTGTTATTAGTGGTGATCAGTTGAGAGAACTGATTTGCATTTTAGATGGCTTTATCATTGCAAAACACTGTTTTTGTGTTCACATCTCACATTTTTTTACACATGGGAATCCACAAAAATAATGGAAAGAATAAATAGCAGTGTTGTCTCCTGGGTGTTGTTCCTTGTGCTACTGCATTCTGAGGGGCTTGTCAAGGAAGGAAATTGGCAGGGAGTGTGGAAGGCTGATGAGTGAGAGTCCTGCATTAAGCCTGCTGTGTTGCATTATGCACTCGATGCCTTTGATATCCTCTTCCACCAGAGGAGCCCCAGGGATTTGTGTACTAAGAGCTCAGAGGTCAGAAGGGAGCAAAAAGCCACTCAAGTGCAGAGGGCACACACGGAAGGATTGCAAAGTCTGGAGTTAAATGAAGCAGAGAATGAATGAACAGATAAGATCAGTGGGAAGTACACAGAAATTATTATAAAAAATCAAGAAATTGTTATAAAAAGTGTGAGAGTAGACAAGAGTAGACAAGGTGAGGATACATTTTTTGAGGATCAGCTTATGAAAGTATTCAATATTACCAGATGAGTTCAATTAAAAGTCGCAAACAATGAATTAGATATAAGTTGTGGGCCAATCTAAAGGTTGTGTGAATGATGCATAAAATGAGAAAAATCTCATTTTAGCTGCAGTATTTGATATGACTCCATAATATGATGAGTAAGATATTAATATGAATTATGTGTTATGGGGGTCTGTTAATGAAACAAAAGTTATATTAAAATGCTTAAAGAAAAGTATACTTAAGTATATAGCTCAAAGAACCTTCACAGTTTGAATATACCTGGTAATTAGTAGCCATTTTAGGAAGCAGACTATTACCAGGACCCACAAAATTTCCACATTTCTTTCCTGGTCACTGTTCAGGGGACCATATTCTCATTTTAGCTTAATAGAATAATCCTATTTATTTTTGAATTTTTCATAAATGGAATTATATAACACATACTATTATGTGTGTCATCACTTTTGCTCAACTTGGTGTGTTTAGATTTATTTTTGTTGTTGGAGATGATTCTAGACTTTGTACATTTATTTTAGGTAGTATTTCATTGAGTAACTCCACTACCATATGCATTTATTATACTAGAGGTGGATGCTTATATTGTTTCAAGTTTGAAGTATTCTATCACATATGCAAATCTCTTTCTGAGTTTCGATTTATAATGATTACCTTAAATTCTTTTTATACAAAACAAAAAACTTTCCATATAAAACAAAATGAGTTGTTCTGCATGTTATTAATTTTGAATAATAGTTTCTGGCTTGATAAAAAGAAAAAGGGAACACATGGACAAATTCAAAGCTCAAATTTGGGGTGATGTTTGAGAGCCCAAAAGAGTTTGGTTTCTGGGAACACTGTTGCTTTGCAGAGGTGTAGTGTGAAGTGCCCTGGCCGTGCACATGGAGTGAGCCTGTGGGCACGGAAGGGCTGTGGAAGAGATGATGCTTAATTTTATATTCATGATGAGCCTTGGAGGATGTGCTCAGTGCTGACTTCTAGGAAGATTAGTGTTGCAGTGATTGTGTAGATGGAGTAGGGTAATGACAGAAAGACTGTACAGTGGTTTGTAGAAAATGCAATTATGAATCTGGAGGACTGGCCTTGAGTGATGTTTCTGTTCCTTGCTCACTGTAACTCTGGATGGCTCACTTTCCAGTTTGAACTTCAGTCATTCCCTATGCGCTATGAAGCTATACATTGTGAGAATGAAATGAGTTGGTCTGTATTAAAGAACTACAGATACAGCGAGTCTGGTGGCTTCCACGGACTCCTGCTGTAGGCTCGAGCTGTGGCAGGTGGTGAGAAGGGGGACTTAGGAATTCAATGTCCTTTCGGTCATGCAAAGAACGGCTCACATTTCAGCCAGGATTGCTGGCATTAATGTGATTAGGTAGATTACATGCATAATGTAGGTATAGTATAGTAAGTTTTGGAGTGAGCAAAGATTCTGCAATCATATAGGCTATATTTGAATCTCTGATCTTTGTCTTACTTGCCGTATGAATTTAGTGAGATTTCTTAACTTTACTATGTTTTGATACTTATCACATAGAATTGTTTTGAAGAATAAATTAGTTAATGCATAGAAAACACTTAGTATCTGGGATGTAGTAAGTAACGTTATTACCTTTTTTGTCTGTGTTTTCTAAGTAGCAATGAATGATCTAGATTTTGGCTGGGTAACTGCGTGGAAGTGTGCGGTGCATGTCTATCCCCGTGTCTCCAGCTGCAGACCAGGTTACTCACATTAGCATTGCTCAGCTCTACCTTTCAGAGCTCTGTAAATTTAATGTTCAGCCTGGCTGTGGCGGGAGGCAGTGGGACCAACAGTGATATTTGCTTATTCCCCTCATATGCACAGAAGGATTTCTTGTTTGTTTGCTAGAAGATGAGGTTTCTTTCTCCTGAAGTTTTGATGTTCATAGCTGTTGTAAAGTAAAAATAAAAAGAAGAGTAGAAGAAAGATTTTATAGGAAGAAAAATTAAAAGTTGAATTTATCACCCCAGTTTCTGCACTCTGTATGCATTGTGCTTGAGTTTTCTTCTTTGATTATTATTGAAAATAATTTTGAGTGGGTACATGGGTGTAGCAATATTGATAACATTCATTATGAGAGGTTAGTGTAACACATTTTAATTCTTTTTCCATCCCCTTCCCCTCCCTGCGCTCCTTCCATTTCTTGGTCCCCTTCCCTTTTGCAAAAGATCTACCTTTCTGTTTCCTATTATCTGTGTTTTATTTTGCTCTTTAATTTGCTGATACTTGGGTTTCTCATTCCTTGGTTATTTCGTATTCCACATACAAAGATAAACTTTTAATCATTTTCTAATGGAAAATTGTTTTATACAGTAAAATTTTAAAAAACGTTTCTTTTGAGTTTGGTGGAAATGGCATTTAAAAAAATTTATTATTTTGACTTGTTTTGTTTTCTTGCAGTCAGACCTCTTCTGTGTATGCTCTTAGTATATAAATGGGTGATAAGGTCCACAGAAGTGCCCTAATGTATCAGTCTCAGCTTTTTCTTTCGGATGAAGGTGAGATTTCATTTCTTTCTTTCTTTCTTTTTTTCAGGGAATCAGCAGTCTCTTCAGTTCTTTAAAAGTGGTGCGTCTCTTACGACTGGGCCGTGTTGCTAGGAAACTGGACCACTACCTAGAATATGGAGCTGCAGTCCTCGTACTCCTGGTGTGTGTGTTTGGACTTGTCGCCCACTGGCTGGCCTGCATATGGTACAGCATTGGAGACTACGAGGTCATCGATGAAGTCACCAACACCATCCAAATAGACAGTTGGCTGTACCAGCTGGCCTTGAGCATTGGGACTCCATATCGGTACAATTCCAGCGCTGGGATATGGGAAGGAGGACCTAGCAAGGATTCTCTGTATGTGTCCTCTCTCTACTTTACCATGACAAGCCTTACAACCATAGGGTTTGGTAACATTGCTCCCACCACAGATGTGGAGAAGATGTTCTCTGTGGCCATGATGATGGTTGGCTGTAAGTATCTTTTCTTTCCTTTTTCAAAAATGATTGGTGTTCACAATCTTCCTGCTGCCCATCACAGACAGAAGTCAAATGAACTATTTTGTCCTCCGAAAGGTGTTTTCATCCATATCATTTACAATTGGTTTAACTTTTATTCCAATTTAGAAAATAAAAATACAAGTACTATATTTTACCCTTTAGAATGTACTGACACATAAAAAATGGAATGGAGGGGGCAGTGATGGCAAACATTTTAGAGTTTTTAATGATAATGAACAGCGTGCTACAGCATGTGTGCCAGAGGTTCACCACCTGTGGGATAGAATAACTCAAAACCCGAAATGGAACGCTGTGATTTAGTTCTATTTATAGTGTAAAGTGCTCTCAAAGGAACCAGTACCAGCATCTAGACAGGATAGCACTTTCTGTAGGTTTTGTTGGCAATGCTTTACCTTCCAAAAACAGACTGGATTTGATGTGAGATACGTAGTTTAGACAGTATCTTAGTTAACAACTGAGTTTCTGAATTAAAGTTGACCTTAGGAGTTGCAATTTTTTACAGCTAAGACTACCAAAAATGGTTTAGGAATCGAGTCTCTACTACTGACACTCTAGGTTACTCTATGACTGAGGGAATGAAAGGGTGAGGAAGGAATGAGAAGAGTCTGGTGTTTACAGCGTCTCTAAGTCAAGTGTTTTCATGGTATTCCTGGAAGGAGAAGGGCCTTGCATTCGATCAAACACCATATGTTCTGTGCTCAGATTGAAATTGGATGACATCAGAAGACCAGAACACTGGGGCTGGAGATTTAGCTCAGCGGCATAAGCACCTGCCTTGCAAGCAGGCAGTCATGAGTTCGATCCCCGGTACCAATAAAAAGGAAAAAGACAAAAAAAAAAAAAAAAAAAAAAAAAAAAAGACCAGAACATTAAGGAAATACAGTCCCAATCAGTTCTAAGACACCTTGAAGGAGATGTCAGTGTCACTTGTACCTTCAGGTTGAGTGTGACTTGTCGGAGTCTTGTTCCTTAAGATTGTTGTACTGAACTGTAATTAGTATCCTTGAGATTGTGGTCACTGGTGTTTGGTCTGGGCCATATAATTTTTTAAGAGTGCACATTTCAGAGGTTGAGATTTTGACACTGATGGAGGACTGGTGTTAGAGCCCCAGACTGGCCCATGAAAGGTAAATAGCGTGGATCTAAGCAAATAAGTCTCATGGTTCAGAATATCCAAAAGCTATCAGAGCACCAATGTTAGCAGATATTAGCTTCTCTCACACTGATCTTTCTGTGTACAGATACAGAAAAAAAAAAAAACTTGCAGATTCTGTTTGTAGGTTAGAGCTTACAGTTACAGGGAGCATTAAATTCCAAGCCTTAAAGCATTAAATTCCAAGCCATATTTGCACAGTATAGCAAATAAGGCTTTCTGTATGTATTAGGACATTTTCTAATCTACAGAGAAATTGTGATGGTCAATTGAACTGATACTTAACATATCAAAAATAGTAAGATGTATTTGCAAAAATGTGCTTTATAAATTCTGGAGCAACATTTTGTCAGCTATGTATTTAGTATTGTACTGCTTTTAACATATTTGCTTATGTATAGATTTTGTAAAATCATTTTTTATTTTGAAGTAATTGTTGATTCCTGGAGCAGGGAGAGCTTATATTTCCTTGTTTCCTCCATCTTCTATAAGTATAGCACAGTATCAAAACTGAGTTTGGTACAAGAATATGTGTGATCATTCTATTACATATGTAGAGTCCTGTAATTTCTAGTGCAGTTGAGATATTAAACTGTTACCACAAATCTCTCCCTCACGTAGTCTTTTCCTATTTCCAGCTATCTCTAGGCCTTTTAAACTAATAATCTGTTCTCCATCTCCGTGAGATTGTGATTTTGAGATGTTATGTAAATTGAATAATGTAAAAAATGTGACTTTTTGAAATTGACTTCTTCCACTTAGCATGCTGCCCTTATCAGCCATCTAAATAGAATGAATCAACTAAGTTTGTTTCTTTTTTCTAATTTCTGAGCGGTATTTCCTGGTTTATATATAACATTGTTTAACCATTCATCTATTGAAAGGCATTTTGTTGTTTCTATTTTTGGGCTATTACAGTTCAAGCTGATATTAACATCTGTTTGTATTTTTTTTTTTTTGGTATGGGTGTAAGGTGTTAATTCTCTGAAATAAGCGCTCAGGAAATATATACATATATATCTATATATTCCCAACTGTTTTTGCACGATGTATATTGTAGCATAACTTTTGATAAGAGAATCACAGGAAAATAGAATCTATGTAAAGTTGAAGGACACTTTTACTTGCTTTGTTTCTCAAGTTTTAAATCTAAGAACCCTGCTAGATATCTTTATTTTCTCTTGTGTTACATCCGTACAAACAAGCTCTCTTGTCTTGGCCTCAAAAATTCATTTGCATGCTTCTCTTTACTTCCATAGCTGACCACCCAAGACCAACTCTCCAGCATCACTGATCTGAACTTTGAAGGAACTTCTTGTATGTTCTTTCTGTGGCTATTCTTCCTTCACAACCTCTTCCTAAAAGCCAGTGTCCCTCTTAAAATAAATAAAATCATACTATTCTCTGATTAAGTCCGTCCTTTGCATATAAAATAAATTCCAGATCCCCCATTCCCATCTTTCCAGACTTACAAATGCAGCCCTTGTCTATCTCACTCACTTCGCTTTCCACAGTTCCTGCTTTTCTGTTTCTCTGAACCTTTGCTAGCTATTTTGTCTCCACACATCAAGCTCGGTACTGTGTGATGGTCATTAGAGTTGTTTTCCTCCTGCTTCTAATGCTCTTCTCCTGGCTCCTTCCTGGATTCATACAGCGCTCCAGTGAATCACTGTTTCAGAAATGTCTCTCAAAATCACCCTCATAAAATCCATCCCAGCGCAGACAAGCAACCTTCTACCCATCATCCTTTTCTTCACTCTACCTACCAAGAACTAAAACCATATTTACTCTTTCTTTCAGAATGTAAGCACCACAGGAACAGGGTCTTTGATTGCCTTTTTCTGCTGATGTGTCCTTTACATTTAAGTAATTACTAACAGCTCCACGCTCAATTTTAATTTGTTAGATGAGAGAGGGAGTTGGGGATGTCCCTGATAGACATGATGAGGATTTCCTACCCTTACCCCCTCCCCAGATAGATCTCTGATGACATGCCTGCCAGGACGTCTTCATGACCCTGAGTCTTTTGTGAAAGATGCAGTGCGCTCACCTGTATCATCTTTTTATGTAGCAGTTCCTTTAGCTGGGTTATCCAGCCCCACGTCTCCTACTGGGCTAATGATAGAAGTTTCAAGAAGTCCCAACAGCCCACTCGCACATCATTTTGTATCATCTCCCTTCTGAGTCTCATATAGATTCTGTTGGGGTTTGGAGACTGTTCAGAATTCATTCTGTTTCTTCTTTACTTCATGTGTGGACAATTATATTTCTAAATCTACATTTCTTTCTCACATCTTTTCTGAAGTTCCCATCTTTATTTCAAGATGAATACCTAGTTTTAAACCTGGTTATTTTCTTCCCTGAGTTTCTGCTATGTCTTTTTAATGCCCGATTAGTAATTTTCTGCTCTGCTCTACCTTCCCCTCCCCTCCTCTCTGCCCCTCTGTTCCCCTCTGCTCCTCTCCCACCTCTCTCTCTCCTTCCTTCCTTCCTTCCTTCCTTCCTTCCTTCCTTCCTTCCTTCCTTCCTTCCTTTCCTTGTCTCCTTCCTTTTGTACTAGGAATTGAACATGGAGCCTTTGCCCTGAGCTTCATTCCCAGCCATTTAAATCACTCTTATTTTTAAGTTTGAGACAGGATCTCACTAAGATTCCCAAGTTGGGCTTGATTGTGTGATTCTCCTGCCTCGGTCTCCTGGAGTGCCAGGATTACAGGTGTGTGCCACTTTGCCCTGATAAATCCAGTTTCTATAGACAGGGTTTTCAAGAGAGTTATCTTTTAATTTCTTTTTGGATCTTTGATAATTTCATGACATATTTTCCTTTGGAAATCTGTCTGGACTCATGAAGTGTTATAATGAGTTTGCACAATTTCAAATTTTTGACAAGGATGCATAAAAATAACACCAAATATGAATATTGTAGCTGTTCATTATCTTAATATTATTTTTCATATACTAATACCATGAAAGACAGACAAAGTGAATCACTAGTGTTTTAGCTTGAGTGCTCTCAGGAATTTTGTGCATGAAAGTCAGTGCTTTCATCTGTGCCAGTGATCTGGTTTGCTTGGAGCAGCACTTATGACTTTTAACTGAGTAACTATGGAAAACCTTTTGTCAAAAGTTGATGAAGACATCAGCTTCTTAAATTCCAAGGCAAATAGGCTCTACTTGTAAATGATGACATCTTTTGCTAGAGAAAGCTGTCTTTTGCTTCCAGAAAAACAGAAATTTCAATGGCAGCAAATCCGGCTCTTGGTCCTTTAGAATTACTCTTCTTTCTCTTACAGACTTCTCTTATGGACTTCCAGGTTCTTGCCAATAATGCTAAATTGCATGTGAACTCCGTTCAAGAATTTAGTCTCAAGGTTCCTCTTGTTCATACCTGAAAAAACTTCAAAAGAAATTTCTGACCATTGCACATTCTCTTACCACTTATCTAGGAGTTTCTTACATTTATCTTACATTCTTATGTTTACCCTACATGTGAAATCCTTTTGCTCAGATTGCTGAACCCATTGCTCTGTTCGCAGCATACGCCTGCATTTGCACATTCTTTACCTTCCTGGGTCTGGAGTGTGTGATGTGGTGCCTGCCAGTACCACCACACAATCGGCTTCCGTCCATTCCTCTTCATCTGTCCCTTCATGAATAAACGAGACTGCTCTGTTGATGTTCATGGAGTTTAGTATGGTGGGGTGTTATGAAAGAATGTTTTTGCAGTTTAGTTCTGTAGCAGTTGTGGAAAATAGCCATTTTTTTAACATCAAGGATATGGGTAATCTCTCTGCTAATTTGC